GCTGGACTGACTGTTGCGTGTAAAACATTTAGGTAGGACTTTCATGCAGCTTTTGAGGGTTAACATTGAAGTATATGACCCTGAATTTGTATGAAAGTCAGACCAAAGTAATGCATGAACTACTTGAAGCTGCACATATATGAATGATTACAATTGGAAAACATGGAATACGACTTGCCATGTAACTTTGATGTCCAAAGTCGCATGGCAAGTTGCACAAGTGTGAATAGGGTCAAAAGAAGTCTAATGATTTGGCATCAGATTTTTAATTCAACTTTTAAAGTTTTTAAGTGGATGCTTTAATCTTAAAGCTAGACACCGGATTTATTTTCCTCAGAACAATACCAGTTACAAATGTTAGTATTGATAATGTGTGGTTATGGTAAACACACTTTACATAAAACACACAGTAGATGGGTATTTTGAGTGACATATGAATGGAGGTATTACAGATTTTTCATGCTTTATGATCGCCAGATGTTTCCTTATCTGCATCAATGTACTGAAAGCATTGGATTAGCATGACAGTCACACAGTTCCTATGTTTAAAAGAATTAAAAAAAACAACAGCTACCCCCACAGACTCTCAATTTCAATTCAGTAAAAACAAGATTGACTAGAAAGAACGATATAATCTTGTGTGCAGTTTAGATGTACTAACTATACAATCTAAGCACTGCAAAGTGCCCCAGAAAAATCGTTAAAATGGGGGCAGCCACCATTCAAGTCTAACCATTGACTTCTGTACCCTTTATGTTACAGCTCACTTCAGTCCAGACGAGGACATGAGAAGGCTGTAAATGACAAAATGTAACAGCTGTAGATGAATAGAATAGTGAATGGGGTTTCATAAGGGTGATCTTAACAAGGAAGACATGGAGAGTTCAATATGTCCAGCCTCGAGGGGAAAAGGAAGAGCGATGAAAGAAAGATCTTTAAATATGTAAAAGAATTCAAATAAGGATTCAGAAGGATGTTTTTATCACATTGAGCTGTAAGACACCAAAGAATTCTAAAAAGAGTACTAAAAGCAACAACATTTATCCAAAGAGCAGTATATGCTGAATCTGCTACTAGCACCTGCCTGTCAAGGGTGCACTGACACTAGGCAATCCATACCATACCGGAGCACACGGACTACCCAGTTTGACGGTCATAATCGTTCTGTACTGTGCATGGGCACGATTCAGCATACAATGCCCTGGCCCACTTGAAGGAGGTAGGCTCAGACATGGTTCAGTTGGACTCAGGAACAGTACAAATCTGTGCAAACAGAGGTGATGAAAGCATGCTTGGACCTTGGACAGTGTGAAAGCAGGCCAACTGGGACAATTGGTTATGCCTAGTATACACAATGAGACAAATTGGACAAAAAAAAGTAATGATTTCGGAGTTATTGCCCGATAATCTGATCGTTCGTACACAGCTTTCGAGACCTGATCATGACAGTTCATGCAAAATTATCCAAAGCATGACATGCAAAATTATCCGAAGCATGAAAATTTTCTTGTACAATAACAGAACATAATTATTTTAGTTTAAGCAGTAGAGTATTTCTCTATTAAAAAATTAAAAATTGAGTGACCAAGACCGTGCATGCTTGAAAAAAAAAAAAAAAAAAAAAAAAAAAAAAGAGTGCACTACAGGACAATACATCATTATTGCAGCTGTATTCTATTTAATGAGAATATTCTATTCAATGAGAACCTATTTGTTTTCGATAAGAGACTAGCATGCAAAAAAGAAAAAAAAACACACGGAAGATCATTCATTCGATATTCTTATCAAGTTTACTAGGCATTACTCTAACACCTAAATTAACAAATTGCCCCTAGATTGGTGATGGATAACATCACATCCCAATTATTACTGGATTCAATCGCCAAAGTTGCAAAAAGAGACTTTTAATATATCAACTGTATATAAATAAGTTCTTAATGTCCAATAATAAAGTGACATATTATTACAATATCATCTGAAAATAAGATAAAAATGCATAAAATATATTCTCCCCAAAAGGTATGATGGTGATTCAATATTGGCGTGGTAATGGCAATCACATACGTTCTCATACAACTGCCATTTACTTTCTAGCAAATACCTTCTGTTCCATAAGCCACAAATTGTTTTACCTTCCAGTATAAGCTGATAATGGAGAGTGAAAATGGCAGACATAATTGACACGTTTCTCAGAATCCAGTCTACTTCCTTAGGATGTATGAGGAATGTACGGTGACATGTCTTCACCAAAGAACGGGAGACCAAAAAGGGAATAAAAAGTGAAGGCACCACCGCACCACCAAAAACTCGCTGAGCCACAAAAACCGAGTTCTCAAAGTGTCCACACACTGGTTTAGACAATACAATCCCTTTTAATCAAGGCAAAGTTGCTCAAAAATTGGTACCACTATATAGGAGTCAACCGCTAGCATTGGTGTCCATGTCACCACCAGCAACTGGTTACATCTCCCTTATGTGATCACCGATTGCTGCATCGTCCACATTAGTGTCCAGAACACAAGTCTGGAGCAGAGAGAATACTAAATTGCACAGCCAACATTAGCATAGACAACATTCTAGTAAACCTGCCATGAATGTGGTCACCTGTTTTCAGCTGTGTGAGGTCAATGCACATTAAACTAGCACAAAGTTCCTGGACCACTCATGTGATGCCAACACCGATCTCCCGTTACTATTGCCTGGACAAAGGCTTCAATAAAATAGGTACGCAAGATGACCACTTTGGGGCCCAAAGTGACAGCCTGTCTCTGGTAACACTTAGCTATTCAACAAAACCACTAACCAGATAACATTTTAGGGCAGGTGTGAATTAAAAAATTGTCCATACACCAGAATTTCATTTAAAAAAGTGGTTAAGGGAATGATGAATTGTCTAACCATTAAAAGGATCAAACTGATGAATGTTTTTGACTGACATGGCAAGGAAAAAACTCAAAATGAACAAAAAAATTCTAATGCAGGCCATACATGGTTTGAAATCCGAACGATTTTTCATCCGAAAATCGAAAACGTTGTTCGCTCAGTAATCCAATGGTGCCATGAATGATTTCGAAAATCGGCCGACCAAGTCATAAAGTTCACCATATATAACAGGCGAACCTTCTGTTCCTTCCAGGTCACGGCTCATGCGCAGATTCTTTTCGGAAAAACGTTTGTATGATTTGACCATCGAGTCGAAAATCGGTCGTTTTTTTCACAAATTTTCCAACATGCCCGATCACCGAAAAGGGGAGGAACCATGAAAATCGGCCGGTGCCATTGACCCAATAACAGTGAAAATCAGCCAAATATTCTTAGGTCCGATTTTCGGCTGACAAATCGGTCGAATTTTGACCCATGTATGCCCGGCCTAAGACTTGATTTTGTTCAGCAAAATTCATATGAGGTATGCGCATCCTCAAATGGAACGCTGAATCAAACAATATTTATCAGGCTTCCTATACAAATTTTGTCCACAATGCTATTGAACGCCAGTTTTTCTGAGCTTCCATACAAACTCCTGAACAAAACATTCTACTGGTGTACGGCCAGTTCAACTGATGTCTTCTCCTGGGAAGACATCTCCACTTTTTAGTGCTGACACCAGGGGCGGACTGAACATTTGGAAACTCGGGTACTGCCCGAGGGCCCGGGGTCAGTAGGGGGCCCCATGAGATGCCCCTGGTACCTTTTTCATAGGCTTTTTTGAGTTTGGGCAAGGACACAGGGGCCCCATGATCCCTTATTGCCCGGGGGCCCCATGAGTTGTCAGTCCGCCCCTGGCTAACACTTTGATACATCGGGCTCCCTTGGTCTTTTTTGTTGTCCGCCTGCGTTGTTTTACCATAGTACGTACACAGCAATGGCAAAATTCGCCCAGCAGGGGGAGCTCAGGCACCAAATCTGGAACTGGAGCTCAGCTTGAGATCAGCAAGTCAGCAGCAGTGTCACAATGCCATCAAAGGGCACCAATCAGCATAACAAAATGGGTGCTATACCGGCCAGTGTAGTTTAAAAAGGTAAAGATCCAGCCTCCCTCTCCAACTGTTTTGCAATACAAAAGAAGATTTGCCATGGATGATAAACCTACTCTTTGTGGGGTATATTTCCTGCTATTAAAAGTAAAAATTCCCTGTTCTTTCACAAGGACATTACATCCTGCTTTAAAATGATCAGAGCGAAGGCCGTCAGGACAGGAATGAGCACACCGTGACACTCCAGGAATTCTACAGTACAGCTCAACAATGAAGAGATTACTGAGGAACTCAAGATTTTATCTGCCAAATAGGTTTCTGTCCAGGTTGTCCGCACAAATACAGGGACAAACCAGGCAGAGCGAGACCAATACGGACAAGGACCAGAGGCAAAATGGCCGCCCAGCGGCCAGCGTGAAAAATGAGACAATTCTAAGCCCCAATTTGCATTATTATGTATTTTGGGCGATTTTGTCGCAGAGATTAACCACTTCAAGTCTGGACACTTTTACCCCCTTTCTGTCCAGGACAATTTTCAGCTTTCCGTGCTATCACACTTTGAATGAGAATTGCACGGTCATGCAACACTGTACCATATGAATTTTTTAGCTTGTTTTTGAGACAGATAAAGCTTTATTTTTGTGGTATTTATTCACCACTGGGATTTTTATTTTTTTGCTATGTAAATGAAAATGTCCAAACATTTTGAAAAAAAGTGTTTTTCTTATAAAATTTTGCAATAAATATATTTCATCATATATCTTGGCCAAAATGAATTCTATTATCTTTTTAAAAAAAAAATAACCCAAATTAGTTTATAACCAAAAATAATGTAACATTTTTATTTTTACATTTTTAACATACTGTCACCCTAGCAGTACAGTGTCACCATGGTGATACTGTACTACTTGGGGGTGAAGATTTTTTTTTTTTTTTTTTTTTCCACACCGATTGCTTTTACAGCCTTTATGGGTGTAAAAGAAATCATTTCTCCTTCCTCCTTGCATTCTTGCAGCCATTGAGAAATACTGTGAGAGCTGTGATTGGTCACAGCTTGTCACATGGTACAAGGCTGTTGTGAATAGCCTTGTACCATGTGACCTCTGATCATTCACAGATTTCACACCTAGTAAGCAATGATTCCGAAGTGACATCTTGCTTATTACTCTGCATGTGATCACTGATTGACCAATCAGTGATCACATGATCGGGACTTTGCACAGAGGTCCCGTATGACGATCTGTGTTCCACTGTGTCCTCCGGACACAGTGGGCACCAGATTGCGGTGCTGTGCGCTCCCAGGGAGTGCGCACAAGCAGGGGGCGGGGAGGTCATTTATAAACGGCCACCCGACCTTGCACTGCCACCATCCGGCCATTTATATACAATAAATGTGTATAAATAATATACAATATATGGGTCCATGCACACTGGGCATACAAAATGCTGCTTCTATAGGCGTTTAGCATTTTGTTCCTTCAGCCTGTAAAAGCATGTTAGCCCATGTGTCCATGCACATTAAGGCGTTTAGAGACATATTTGCAGAGGAGCGTTTAGAGGCAGACAAAAAGGAAAAAAAAAAAAAGCAATAAAAGTCTCAGGCTAAAACGCGCATAAAACGCAGCATTTCAGTGCATTCAGTGTTTTCAAATATACATTGAGAAACGAGCAGAGGTGAAAGTTTTGGAAAAAACACCTATAAAAGCAAATGCCCATAAACTCTCCTAAACTCTTGTGCAATACAAGCCACTATGAGCATTTTTGTGTTATGAGGTTCTGGTGTTTTTTTCTGCTCCTAGTGTACATGGACCCTAGTTGTTACAAATCACTAATGCCAATAACTGACACGGATTTAATCACTAGGGTCGCTGGCAGCTTGTCGTCAAGAAGAGATTTCCCGCCGCTACAAGATAAGCCAGTGCTACAGCATGGAGGTCGGTTGGCTCTGCAACAAATGGGTCTCCTTCAGCGATTTGTAGCTAAGCCATAGAGGTGCAAAGAACGACTGTCACTGGTGATCTTGTTAGCGACACGAAAAGCTGCTAAAAAAACGCAATTGCTGACAAATTAACCAGTTTGCAATTCCATACAAAAACTATTAGCTTGTCAGAAATCACTGGACTGGTAGCTTTAACCACAAGCCTACAGGGCACTTTATACCCCCTTCCTGCCCAGGCCTATTTCCAGCTTTCAGCACTGTCGCACTTTGAATGACAATTGCACGGTCATGCAACACTGTACACATATGAAATTTTTAGCATTTTTTGTGACAGAGCTTTATTTTGGTGGTATTTAATCACCTCTGTGTTTTTTATTTTTTCTTAAACAAACCAAAAACCACTGAAAATTAAAAAAAAAAAAAAAAAAAATTTAGTTTTTTGTTATAAAAAATTTTGTAAATAAGTGATTTTTCTCCTTCACTGATGTGCGCTAATGAAGCTGTAGTGATGGGCACTGATAGGCTGCACTGATGAGGAGGCACTGGTAGGTGGCACTGATGGGCATTGACAGGCATCACTGATAGGCAGCACTCATATATGGCACTGATAGGCGGCACTGAAAGTCAGCTCAGATGGACACTGATATGTGGCATGGATGTGCACTGGTAGGCACTGAAATGTGGCATGGATGGGCACTGGCAGGTGGCATGGATGAGCACTGACAGCTTGCACTGATGGACACTGACAGATGGCACTGCTGGGGCTACCCAGATCATCACAGCACACTGATCATCAGTGCTCTGATGATCAGTGTACATGTCCCCTCTGAGGGATCCCGATTACCGGCTCTCCTCTCCTCTGTCAGCGTGACAGCTCGTGAGGAGAGAAATGCTGATAACCGGCATTTCCCTGTTTACATGCGATCAGCTGTGATTGAACACAGCTGATCACATGACCGAGCCGACATCTTCGGATCTTTCCGTTGATCGGTGATCCGCTGTATCCGAGGGACACAGCGCACCGCACGCTTAGAATGGGAGGACGTCATATGATGTCCTCCCAGAACGAGTGAACTGTCTTGCGCCCGTCATTGTACTATATGGCAGACGAGAGGCGGTTAAAATATAACAGAATGCTACATTTTATTTGGGTAGAGTGGAGAGGGATTAGAGCACCTTTTTATTGCTGTCCATGCCCCATTATGGGGGATTCACCCTCTCTGATTGCATTACTAAAAGTGAAGAAAAATCCTAAATTTTGGGTTGTCACCAGAACAGGAGTAGATAGGAAATCTTAAAAAGGAGGATGCTAGTTCTGATGACAACCATGGATTTCCCAAACTTTGGAGGAATTTCTTCTCACTTCATGGTTTGGCTATTAGACAGGAAGTGATGGCTCCCCAATGGGGAACAGATGGTAAAAAAAAAAAATTACACACATAAAAATGACAGCGGTTATAACCCTCCATTACTCTATACAAAATGTTTTTGCCTTTAGTTCTACTTTAAACTGGTTGTATAGTGGCACACAAATGACACACAGCGGACAAATTTACATGCAGCATTCAATAGCTGGGAATTCCAGAAGCCATGACATCACCCATAGGCTCCTATGGCCAGCCTCTGTCAGTGCTTCTTCCTCTCCCCTGGAACGCCACTCACTGACACAGGAGCCAGAGTTGCAGGACCACATGACCAGACCGGATTAAGTACTCATCTGAGCCCTATCGTGATCCAACGTTGTGCACGAGAGCTTCGGCTCTGCGGGGATTGTACCTCCTCATTCGCTGAGACAGCAGTGGGAGCAATTGGCTCCTGCTGCTCTCAATCACAGCCAGTGAGCCAATGAGGAGAGAGAAGGGGCAGGACCAAGCTGCGGTTATGTGTGTGAATGGACATGCACAGCAGTGGTTCAGAAGCAACGCTGCTTTGGTGCCCCCATAGCAAGCTTCTTGCTCTGGGGCACTCGGCAAAAGGTAGGGGGGCGGGGGACCCAAGAGAAGAACCAGGGCTACTCTGTGCAAAACCATTGCACAGAGCAGGTAAATACGACATGTTTGTTATATTAAAAAAGAAATGGCTTTGATATCACTTTAAGAATAACGTTAGGCTGGAATTTCATTTTAGGACCAGACAACTCCCTCTTATCTCCAAAGTTTGGGGAAGGTGTTTTGTAGTCCACAGAGGAACTAGGCAGCTCTGAAAATGCTGCAGAGTGCACAGGACAGCACTGGACTTGTCAGGTAATTTGAGCATTTAATAAACAGATATTAAAAAAAAAAAAAAAAAAAAACACATTAAATGGGATATTTAACAGACCATAAAGGGAGCAAATAAGAGAATTGTTGGTGTTTACATACACTTTCACTCAGTGAGCATAATAAACACAATGATTGAAAAGATAGCAATAGTTTTTTTTTTTTCTAGGATGAATTTATGAAGAATGAACCACAAGGGCTGTGCTTACTAAGCGGTAAGTACAGCATGCACATATAATAGCAAATATATTGATTGATGCTTACTCCCAATATAAGGAGACACAACCTGTACAAAACAAGGTCTAGAAACCATTACCAAATTCGGTGTCATGTATACCCCTGTAAATGAGTCTGATCACAAGGAACACCCCTCTACAATGCAGACAGCAGGGGCCCGCTAACACTCCGGCACAGGTGCCACTTTCTGTTGCCCTCACCAGCTTCAACTGGCCAAACAGAACGAAAGTGCGGCTGAGGAGTTCAGTCAGTGGTGCAGTCAGGTACGTTTAATTGGAATCCAGCTAAGTCTCTTATCTAATTAAAGTAATCACATTAACGTCAGTCAGTGAGAACTGTCACACCTGCTGTTCTCAGAGCACACAGGCGGACATGGCAAAGTCACCTGATATTAGGGCAGACCACCGAAAGCCATCAGAACAAGCAACCGGACACAAAAGATGCAAAATACGCTCTGAGCTGCTCTTCACATTCTCATCCATGAACCAAGCAGAGCATGTAAAAGGCTGATCAGCACATATCGCTTCTACTCAGATTTGATTTCCCAGCTCCTTACAGTGGATTTCCACTTTTGCAATCAAATTTGAGAAGCCCCTACTACACGTTTGTTGTGTTCCCATTCACGCTGTATCCCTGAAAATATAAAAGCATCTCCTACCTTTCAGAGCAGGTTTATAGGACTCTATAGATCGTTCTAAATTCTTGCAATGTGCAATTAGGGGACACATTTATGTATTTATTTGCATTAACATACTCATTGTATCCCTCAAGCCTTGAGATCTTTAACCATTTGTTAGAACACTGAAAAACAGGATTTGTTTGTTACTCACCATAAAATTCCTTTCTCCAAAGTTCACTGGACAGAGGGTTATAGCGCCACTTACAAGTAGGGACATTAGGTAGAAAAACAAATCCACACCGCCTATGGGCAGTCCTAGCTGGTATAAACCCCCCTCTCTGCTATAGGCAATTCAGTTTTTATTCTGCCTACCGGGGTGACCTCTGGATCTACATTATCCAGCCAGTTGCCCAGCCCGGCTGTTGATTGAAGATCTCTGCAGAAAAAATTTCAAGGGAAAAGAATAAAGGGAAAAAGGCAATAGAACCTGAAGGTCTCATCAGGGAACCAGTTTCCTACTCCTATGCTAGGCAGATTAAAAAAAAAAAAAAGGGTTGCCTATATTAGAGAGGGGGTTTTATACCACCTAGGACTAGCAGAGTTCTTTTTCTGCCTAGTGTCCTACTCCTGTAGGTGGTGCTATAACACTATGGTCATGATTCAAAAGAGCTGTGTCCCTCAATGAACATAAGAGAAGTATCGTTGTCAACTGACAATGAAGATCTGCCAGCACAGAACATCCAGGTAGGTATTGCAAGTAAATGCAATCCCTGCAGGCCCATTGCATCCCCCTTCCCCCAAAAGCCAGGCCGAAATGTCCATAGCTATTTGTGCCCTATCCTGTCTTGTGGCTAGGAAGCTCGACTGGAGTGAGCATGCTTCCTTACATCATTACGGAGCTCATTTATTACCTCCCAGGGCTACATAGGTCATTCCTTTAAGAGGGGACCTGAGCCTTCAAAAGTGCATTTTTGCTAGATTGCTTTTTAACTCTTAATTCTTATCAAGCAGGAGACGTGCCACCTGTACAGCAAACTTTTTGTATTATAGATCTGGTCATTCCTAAACAAACTACCAAACTATTTACAGGAGCTTTTAATACTACTAGTAGACATAAATGCAACAGTTGCAGGAGATGAACAGAAGATCCCAAAATTATGATGGAATAGTGAGGGGGGACATTTCCAACACATGACTTCCTCTAATTTCACTGCAGAAAACTGCCTACTGTCATTTTGTTGCCCCTTTACGAATTACATGGCAAAAATGGAGCAAATCTACGGCACAGGTATAAAAAATATCTTGCTTTACTGGTTTAGTCGTCCTTTCAGGACATATTAGGCACACAAAAATGGCCATCTTCAGATCCAATCACAGCTTACAGCCGCTGACCTCTCACAGTTACAGCTCACCTTGCTAATTACGCAGCAGACACAATCCTCACACGGACAAGCAGTTTATATAGGCATCATTAAACACAACAACAGCGTGGCATGACAGGCTGAAATAACACAGCCTGGCTTAGGTCCCTTCTCGGCTGGTCTAGGATTGGAAATGAACAGTATATATATATATATATATATAATATATACACACACACACACACACACATATAAACTTGAACTGGTCACTTTTCTTTCCTACTGTGCGGCCTAGCTTACAACATTGTTTACAGACTAAATATATCTTAACACTTTCTTAATTATATACCAAAAATATTAACTTATGTTATATACAAAAAAAAAAAATTATCAAAGGGTCTAGAGAAGCTTCCCAACCAGGGGTTCCATTTATTGTGGAGTTTCCTCAAGATACTCAGGACTCCTTGAGCAGATTGATCTGCCACCTACACTGACCACCAATGTCAGTGGTCACTTCTACCCTGACCACTAACATCAGAGGACACCACAAATATTTATAATGTTTTTTTCCCAATTCATTTTTTGGATAATTCCCAACATTTTTGGTGTATAGAGCAAGGCGTGATTAAGAATGACCTTTCCTAGGAGGTGAAATATGCTAGGTTTGCCATATTATTTATTCTTTTATTTAAACCCTACTACAACAACGTATTAGTCGCACTAGTGTATGAAGTATAATCATTTATACCAGGGGTTCCCTGAGACCTAATTATTTCAAAAGGTTCCTACAAGATAAATAAGCTGGCGTAGAGCAAACATTTTAGCTTGGGTAGGAAAATATCCTTTTCCATAGAACAAACTGGTCATTCCACAGTAGTAACTTCATCTCTGGCATGAAATTTCCCACAAATTTTTGCCATGTTTCTCGTAAGGTAACAAATATCACGGACACAATCATTTACAGCAGGGGTTCACCGAGATTTAAAAACAAAAAAAAACAAAAAAGAACGCTTGTCTAGAGCGAAAAAAATTTAATTATAATGTCCTGTTCCACAAAAACTAGACATTACACATTAGCAATTCCATCTTAAGTGAGCGAGAATTTTCCCAGCAATTGTTGACATATTTCTCCTAAGGTAACAAAGTGATCAATAACAAGGGCACCCAGTAAACGAGAGGGCTTTGGCCGAACCACTTTACATTGGCTGACATGAATGTGTTTGCTCTTACAACCCCAGTACTCTATATGCCTTTCAAACATCTGAAGTAATGACTCAAATACCTACAGCAAACAGGGACAGTTTACAGACCCATCAAACTACCTAACGTTGCCTATAGAAGCCCACCTCTCGATTGTCTATGGGTTTATATGTCACTATGTTGATACGTGTTTATATGGATTTAATATACCAAACTAAACAGCTCATCCACTCCCTCATCATATCACGACTCGATTACTGCAACTCCCTCCTTACTGGCCTGCCTCGTCGCTGGCTATCCCTGCTTCAGTCGATCCTGAATATGGCAGCCAGACTCATTAACCTTTCCAACCGCTCCATCTCCACCACCCACCTCTGCCAATCCCTCCACTGGCTTCCGATTGTGCAACGGATCAAATTCAAAATCCTAACATTGACGTACAAAGCTGTCCACCATACT